TGAATGACTGAATGACTTGTTTCATTCTTGAATGAATCAGTTTTTTTTAAACAAATTTATTAAATAAATGATTCAGGACTTACTCATAAAGTCACTAGATGCCACCTGGTGATGTAACCTGCAGAAAGAGTCAAACAGCTTTGACTCAACAGAATATTTAAAGACTGTGAATGTGAATTGTGAATTGAATGTGTTTTTTGTTTAGCATTTTAATTTAGATTTAAGTTATATTATTTTAATACACTGATAATTTATTAATTTAAATTTAAGTCATCCTCTGACCCTCTTGGAAGTTTGCTGAGGCCCCTAGTGGATGAAATCTTCACCACTAATGCGCAGACCTTTTGTCTTGTACACAGACTGGCAGAGCGATAAAAACTGTGAAAAATGGGAGGAATGGTTTATGTATATAATATATTATATGCCCCCCCCCCCCTCCCCAAACACACATTAGAGAATATTCTCATGTGTAGAAGGTCACAGTCACACACAAGGGGTCCTTAGGGATTTCTCAGAGAAACATATAATCCATGCTCAACCAGCCCTGCCTATCTCCTTCTATTCAGCACTGTATATAAGCAACACAATGTCTCATTGTGTGCGCGTGTGTGTGTGTGTACTCCTCCCTCTCTTACAGCACACTAATGCAATGAATGATTGGCACAGCTGACTGAGCTGATAACAGCTCCATTCTCTTCATACCCACCCACTGCTAGGCACGCACATACCCGCCTGAGGTTAACCCTCATGGGCCGCAGACCTATACTCTGCCGTGGCATCTTTTTCCAGAAGACTGGATCAAAACCACAGCTGGACTTCAAAAACTGGCCCATGTGCCATGGTGGGGTCACGTAGCTGTCTAATTACCAGTGGTTTACAGTCTCAGGCTGGATATGTGAAAAAAAAAGTTTTTTTTAATTAATTTTGACTAATTCAACCACTGGAGAAAATATGGTGTTTGTCCCAACAAATATTTGCTCACAATTTTATTTGGTGCAATGGTGCCAGTAGTCGCAGAAATAATCATCAAAATAAAATTAGGTTAATTTGCTTACAAGCTGTATCAAATTTATTAGTGGATTGTTTGCCAGTTTGAAATCTGATAAAGATATACAGTATTTCTATGATACTTCAGCTCTCTTTTAAAAGGATATTTTGACTTTCTTTCTTCAGTTGAATACAAAATGTGGAACAAAGCTCCATACAAGTGGATGGGGACAAGGGGCAGTCAAGCTCCGAAAAGGACAAAAAATTAGGCTACCATAAAAGCGCTATAAACCGTGTACATGATATTTCTATCCATTTATTTTATTTTATTTTATTTTTTATTTGTTTAAAGTTTAAACCATGAGACACAAACGCTTGCGCTTCTTGTCCCGCCTCCGCCGTCTTCTGATTGGTCCGCTGTTTCATAACTGACATTGATAAGCTGCACTGTGTGCCAATTAAAGTTTACGGCGATACGCGAGATGAGGCGCAACACCTTCACCTATGCTTACTTATAGAAAACATGAAAAAGCAAGCACAGTGGAAAACCAAAAACGCGGTATTTGTGAACCAGCCATGGCCAAGACATAAGACAAATATTTTCTGTGAGTGCACACAAACATGTAAGTACAATTCAAGATATGTCCAGCTTTTTCTGTGAGAGCATAACCCACAGCTGTGAATAAAAACAAAATGTAAAACTCAAGAGTAAGCAAAGGGATCTAAACAGTTTTATTGCAGTCACCCTTTTTAGGAACTACAATCAGTTTTCAGAGCAAGCTGAGGTGAGCTGTAAGCTGGCTCTTCTGAAGATGACATATTCAGGTCAACTCATTGACATGTCGCACCCCTTCAGTGACCCTAAAAGTGTGCACACATTGAGGGAATCTGCATTAGCTGTAATTGAAGTCTGACTTGAAGTCAGAGGTTAAGCACTCTCACACTCCATCACTGACATTTATAAACCTGAGACAGAATTTCACACCTCCCAATGACACACCTGCTCGCTGCACTTCTGTTTCTCTTTGCTTCTTCAAGTGGAAGGAGAGAGACTGAGAAGAAGACAGAGTGAATGCATTTATGGTGGCCATAGATTTGGGCACTTAAGATATACTTAATCCGGTAAAACCTGATACATTGACAACAAATAAAAAAAATCTCATATGGACCCTTTTCACAAGACTGATGACGCGTTGCAACAGTCATCAGCATCGTAAATCCTCAAAAGTTTTTTATATTTTTATTTTGTAAAAAAGGTATGTACATCTATAACACTATACTTTGTATTAAATCACCTTTGCATCAAATTACAAAAAACTAGTTAACGCTAATGCAAGGGTGTTTCTAAAGCAGCGTCTATAGGAGGGACAGTAAATTTTACATCGTTCTTTCTTCTGAGTGCTGTAATCAGTCTCTCAATTTTTTTCCTTTTTTTTGAAAGTCATGAAAACACTATTGTGGAGGTTTTTCTTTTGCTATCTGAGCAAATGGGAATGCAAAAAAAAAAAAAAAAAAAAAAAAAAAAAAAAATCACTGCTCTTCAAGTTACTAACTCCCTGCTTCAAAAGATTAATTATTCTTTTCTATCTATCTGAAATGCAAGGATTTGAAATTGGTGCATCATGTGGAACGCTGCAATTCCCGCAATGGGAGTAGTTTTAAAAATAATGCTATAATCAACACTTTCACAATTAGTTAATCTTAGCAGCTGTTATAGCAAATTTAATATATATATATATATATATTGTTTTTTGTTTGTTTGTTTTTTGTGATACTCTCCCATTCACTGCTCTCGAAGTTTACCCAAGGCTTCTGCTGCTGAGAAACCTGGAAATGTGAAAAAGGTCAATTATAAAACCTTTAGACAAAATATAAAAAAAAATGTCTTTTATGGCCCCTAAAGTATGATATATTGAGTATATTATTATATATATATTGCTGTTGCTGTTATTTATATAACAAAAAGATTTAATTCTAATAGTTTGTAATGTAAATCAATTAGATATCTATAACAGTTTAGCAGACTGCTTACATAAAATACATGTAAATGTCAGTTGTCACTCTATATCTCCCAATAATATGTCTTATGTTTTTTGTGATACTCTCCCATTCACTGCTCTCGAAGTTTACCCAAGGCTTCTGCTGCTGAGAAACCTGGAAATGTGAAAAAGGTCAATTATAAAACCTTTAGACAAAATATTTAAATTTTTTTTAAATGTTTTATATCATATTTGATACATCAGTCTTTTATGGCCCCTAAAGTATGATATATTGAGTATATTATTATATATATATTGCTGTTGCTGTTATTTATATAACAAAAAGATTTAATTCTAATAGTTTGTAATGTAAATCAATTAGATATCTATAACAGTTTAGCAGACTGCTTACATAAAATACATGTAAATGTCAGTTGTCACTCTATATCTCCCAATAATATGTCTTATTTAAGATTCAAATTAGTTTTATGATCAACATTCTGTTTATTGAGATGTGTATATAACATTATATAACACGTGGACACATTTTAGGAATGATATAAGGCCATTCACTTCTTTAAAAAAGTATGAACTGTCAGTTCGATGGCAGAAGGCATGTAGTAAATTGTGTACAGGTTTCTCAGCATTTTATCATGTAAGTTAAAGGCCTTCAAAATTAAGATATCAAATAAGATACTGTAGGCTTGTTAGGGTCACTGCATGTATAAATGTTATTTCATATGTGAGCTAATCTCTTATGTTAACAGACAGAGCTAATCTTTTATCTTATCCTGCAACCAAACAAATCAATCAACAACACTGTATCAAAAAAACTACAATTGTATTTTTGACTGCAGGCCAAACCTCAGCTGTTATAATAGAGCTACAATGGCAATGATGACAACAACAACACTTCAATTAGTCATACCCTTAGACCCAAATAATGTGTGTTTCTGTGGTGTAGATATTATTCCATGTGCATTCGCTGGAACTATAACTATTTCCAAGTTTCCTACCCCCTCCCCAATCTGTACATGTTGTATGAGCTCAACAAAATGCAGGTGCATTTCTTTCTATCACAGCCACAGTGTGTCACACATCCTCAGAGTGCAGCAAGCATTGTTAACATCTTATTCCTCTGCATGCAGCTCTCGGGCTGACTTCCTCCCTTTATTCTGGCTATGGACCGGCACTAGAGGAATGCAGGATGGAGTCTGACGGCTAGATTAGGACTATAGCGTCACCCGTTTCCTAATGAATGAGAGAGCGAGAGTAGAGACAGACACAGAAAGAATTAACAAAAAGCAGGATGTAGCCTATTTGTCAGGGAATTTTAAAAAATAACCCTTTTTGGATTATGCTGAACTAAAAACATCAACAACAACTAAAAAACAAACAAATAAATAAATAAATAAAATTTAAAAAAGCATACAAAAAGCCAGGACTAGATAAGGCCAAAGAGTGAATGACAGTCTTTTTTATTGAAGTTTTCAGGAGGAAACCTAATAATACAGTACCTTATACCTAATAATACACTAGAGGGCGCTCTGTATCTGTTACCCACAATCATTTACCCGTGCCTTGACATGAGTGTAGATTTGGATTGTGAAAGAGTACAAACAGGGCAAAATGCTACCCCCAAAAAACAACAAAAAAACTTGTGTGTAATAATAAAGTGTGTAATAATCGTTTACAGAATGTCAACATACTTCTAGCAGTAATTATAAAACCATTCAATTGTCAAAAATTTTAGAATCGAAAATTATTCCTGTTGTGAAAGATTAACATTTTTAAATAATAACAGTTTTTGTTGTCGTTTTAAAATCTTTGTCCTTTACTCTACAAACTAAGTCAACAAGCCTGTCAGATCTATAATTTATAGGAAGGCCCCGCCCTCTGACTATGCGATTGGCTGACGCAGACGTTCTACTACAACTGATGGCTTGCCAATGGTGTATTGAACTGTCAATCAAGCCCGTTCAGACGGCTAGTAGTTAACTGTGAGAGCAGCGCGCTGGAGGAGCGAGTGGATGTATGTGTGTGACTTTCATCTCATCTTCTGGAGGTCTTGCGGAGAAAGGAATCACTTTGAATGGCTGGATTTTTGTAGATAATGATGCATATATGTGTTTTCTTTTTTTAATCATGTCGTATTAACTTCATAGGAGTCATGCATAACTATTTTGGAGCTTGTTTCTTAATTTTGACGTTTTGGACTGAGGTGAGTTAAACTTCCTTATGCCTTTTTAAGTCCACCTTTTTCTTCACTAGTTGTAAAGTCATAGATTAAACAACCGATTTACACTGAACTGAAAATCATTAATTTTTGTCAAATTAGATTTTGGGATTCTTGTCCTAATAGAATTATCCTGCTGTCAGTGGAATCATGTGATCCTTAAACTTTAAAGGCGTTTTAAAAGCAGTCCGCGTGCACTGTAATGCAGCACCTACATCGAAACTTTAAGCATTGCCTACATTAATCATACAGTAAAGTGTATATTTCATTATTGCACAAACATGTTTATTCATATTTGCTGCGAGTGCACTGGATTGGTATGTTTGCAATATCTGTATAACCATGAGATCACTCCTTTAACACAAATGTAAGTCAGTATCCGCTATATTGTGTTCTGCTGCATGTTCTGTCTTGTATTTTAATGGGAGCAAGACAAATTATTCTGTGCAGTCTTACAAAGCCAAACTGTTTGCATTTCATATTTTAACTGCTGTTTATGTTATTTTTAGGTGTGCCAGTCGTCGGGTTATTTGGAGCTCCAGTTGATCAGCGTGGAGAATGACAGGGGTGAGCTCGCGAATGGAAACTGCTGTGACGGCGCACGGAGCGCGCAAAACGGTTTGTGCGACCAGGACGAATGTGACACGTACTTGAGAGTGTGTCTAAAGGAATACCAAGTGGAGGTCACCACATCTGGCTTATGTACGTACGGCACTGGAAGCTCGAGCGTGGTCGGAGGGAATACGTTTCAGTTGAAAGGATTCAATGGAAACCCAAGCAAGGCCAATGACCTCGGGACCGTTATCATCCCCTTTCAGTTCGCCTGGCCGGTAGGTGTTCACCGATACCCTCTTTCATCAGCCCTTCAACAACAAACAAACCCTTTTTGTGAGCATTTTCTATATAGGCTAGTTATCTTTATTGACACTGTGAAAAAATGTCTGCTCGATTTTATGAGTTTGAACTCGAATTTTCTTAAGGGTGTCAAAACTTAACACTGTTAGTTGTAACTTTGATTTTACTTAAAAAAAATAATAAGAAAACAAGTAGCTAAACTTAAGGTTGTACATTTTGTACAGTATAAATGTGTTTATGGTAACCATAGAGCTTTTCCTATACTAGCTTTACAATTGAAAACACATTATATGCCCATGTGACATTTGGGGAGTATCAAATCAAAGCCCCGGTTATGTTAAGGATTTCTTGCTATAGCCTATCACATATTATCCAGCTTAAGGTGGAATCTGTGGAAATGATATCTGGTCTTAGATTATTATTAAGTATAAGGCTATCCGAACTGGGTGATATTTCCACTTTAAGCCAGCCTGACGACCTTAAGATTGGTTTGTCGGTCCAATATGGTCTGCTAGCTTATACCAGCTAGCAACCAGTTTAGACCAGCTAGAAACCACCTTGTTCCAAAACTTGTTTCCAGCAGATGGTCAAGACGCACAAGTGAACAAACAGCTACTTTGTCTTAACAACACCAACTGGTAGCCTACGCTTTAAACACTCATTGCAAAGCAAATGTTTGACTCGGTGGAAAGAGGAGAGCTCGGTGTCACGGTGGTCACTGGCGTTAATCGTAGAGATGATGAGTAGAGCATCTGCGGTTACGGCGCGCGTTTGGCTGCGCGAGCTGCGGCTGGTGCGTGTCTCTCGCGCGCGCGGAGTGTACAGTTACACGCTTAACTGATGGTGTCGTATTTATAGGACGTAGTGTGTTTTACTTCATGGCTTGCGGACGGGGCTGCAAGAAGTCCATGTATTGCGGAGTTTAGAAGGAAGACGATCAATAGACATCTATCTATCGGTCTATCTATCTCTGATATATATATATCTTTATCTAACTTTAAAAGCCTTATATAGTGTTTTTAAATTGCTCTTAAAACAACCAACCAACATATCTATCTATCTATCCATTCTGAATCTATCTATCTATCTATCTATCTATCTATCTAATGTTGGTCTAGCTGAAAAGTGGCAAAAACCAGCCACCTGACAAGGCTGGTTTAAGTTTCTTATTTTTGTCAGCAGTGAGTCTACAACATTTACAACAAAATAGTTGCTGAAATTGATGTTACTGTAGTAAGAAATCATTAATGAACATGTCACTTTCTCAGCAAATCAACTCAGAGCATGTTAGCAAATTTTTCTTAGTGAAAGAATGTTAATATATGGTCATTAGTGAAGGGCAACATTCGCATGAGCTCACAGGAATTCTGTTTTGGGCAAAAATGAGATTTTTTAGAAAGGCACGATTTACACAAGACAGAGTTCTTGACTAGAGCTGGCATGCTCATGGAGTGATATCACAATCAGAGAGATAGAGAAGAGAAAGAGAGGCATTGGGAGTTGTCTACACGATCATGTTTCAGATAGCAGCATTGTCGCTAAATAGACCAGAACAGATAGTTTGTAAGATAACGCAAGGCACATTACTGTGGGTAAAACATTTAACTCAAACCACACAGCGCTTACCTCAGTGTGAGTTTGTTGTTGTTTTCTTAAACCTGGTAAATATGTTTTGTAAGTAGCGAAAAATGCTGAATCACTGTGTTTGAGTCTTGTTTGGACGTGGTGATAACAGTAGCGCTGTGGTGAGAGCTGCCTGTGTTCTTCATGCCTGTGTTATGTACACATGTGTTTTAAAGTGTCTTAGTTTTAAACACACCGTAATTGCTCAATTGAAGATAAAATCATGACACAGTAATGAGACGCTTTGGGACTGTGCATGATCATTTCTCTATCTCTGAGATGGTTCTTCAGTGCTTTTCTTCAATGTTGCTCTTGGAAGAATCTGACCAAGACTGAACTTGAGACACCTTACAGATTGTTCAATTAAGGGTTGGTTTCAAGGGAACAAATCAAGATCAGCGAATAACGCTGAATCACTGCGTTTGAGTCTTGTTTGCTTCCAGATTTTGGCCGTGGTGATAGCGCTGTGGTGAGAGCTGCCTGTGTTCTTCCGTTATGTACACATGTCTTTTAAAGAGGCTTTATTTTAAACACACACAAGGCTCGAAATTGCGACCATTTTGGTCGCATATGCTCCCGAAATTTAATCTGTGCGACCTCAAAATATATTTGGGAGCATTTGTGCGAGTGCATATAATTGTTGTCGTGCGACCCGTTTTAATTTCTCTAAAAACGTTCAGAGTATGTGCCTTCTGAGTGTTGATACGGTGACCTGTCTGCCGTTCTATGAAACGGATAAAATCTGTTAATATATAATTTGTAGTTGTGGTGCTGCTAAATTTTTGGTGAGTGCTCCTAAATATTTGCTGGTGCTCCTAACTTTTTGAAGTTGGGAGCACCAGTGCTACCAAGTAAAAAAGTTAATTTCGAGCCCTGACACAGTAATTGCTCAGTTGAAGATAAAATCATGTACACACTAATGAGACGCTTTGGGACTGTGCATGATTATTTCTAAATCTCTGAGATGGTTCTTCAGTGTTTTTCTTCAGTGTTGATCTTCATCCATTCTGAATCTATCTATCTATCTATCGATCTATCGATCTATCTATCTATATGTCTGTCTGTCTGTCTATCTATCTATCTCTATCATCATACCCATAGTTGTTGATTTTCTGTTGTTTCTGGTATGCATAAGAACATCTGTGTTTTTCCATGCACCATATAACATGGTTTGCCTATTCAATTTTGCACTGTTTCACAGGTGCAAATTCTACTTTTTGAGTTTAGTTAAGTCTAGACTGTGTCTCAGAACCGTTATCTGGTCACCTGCCTGCGAATAGATTCATAAGTGCTGTTTAAACAGCTTTGCAGGTGAGTCATTTGAGAAACTGGTTTCACATTCAGCTGGTGAACTTCTGAAGATTCTTCCCTGCTGTAACTCTGTTGAAGTCTGAAGGGAGAGATATTTGCAGTCTTGTGTTAATACTGGTGAAGACAGCCCATAGTAGGAAGGAAATCCTCCTGCTGGGATGTTTAATAGTTATTTTTGGCACTGGCAAACCACAAAAACAAACACTTGCTAATGGGAATAATCCTCCCATAATGTTTTCTGCAGCATGTGTATGTTTAATGAATGGAAATGATGGTAGACAATATACTATTGGATACACAATTGCTTGCATCACTGGACTCGGTGCATCATCAGTGTTATTTAGCTGAACATCAACTAATCTGAAATCTGTCAAGACATTTACATCTGCTGTTGTCCATAGTTTCTTAGCGAATCGGGTGTGCCAGGGGAGGAACGCAGTTTACGGAAGGTGATGTTTATGAGCCTTATAAGTCCTGCTGTGTCTGACGTCCTACAGCTGTGAGATCTTTGATACGCTTCCAGCATACCATCCTTTGTTTTTGGATAAAAATCCCATCCCACTGAGCACACACACACACACCACAATTTTTTTTTTTTAAATTTAAGCTTTTCCAAGAGCTCAACAAGTCCATGTTCTGTTTCACGATAAGTTCTCAAACTTAATCTAAACTCTGAACACACAGTTAAGAAAAGATATCTTCTTACAAACCAAACAGAAATATACAATAGCAATGTATCTTTACCAAAGATAACATTAGCTCTTTCTAAAGCAGTCAGTGTATCTGGCTGTTTTGAGATATGGGTCAGGACATTTGACTGCATCTTTGCTCTGTCATTTCTGTCTCTGCTTTAAATCACATATATATGTAGACCTGCCAAAATGCAAGGAAGATTGATTCACATTAAAAGTTTTACTAAAAGAGAGAGGGATGCTAGTGACAGACAAACCTGACTCCTTCATTCTTTACAACTTATGTAACTTTACAGTTATGAGGGCCTGACTAAATGTTCAAACTTTATTTGATCTGCTCTACTCTTTCCATTTATTTCTTTATTTTCAGTTCGTTCCTGTCCTCCTTTCACCCCATCCTGCTTTCTTTAAAGGGGTCATATGATGTTGCTAAAAAGAACATTATTTTGTGTATTTGGTGTAATGAAATGTGTTTATGCGGTTTAAGGTTAAAAAAACACATTATTTTCCACATACTGTACATTATTGTTTCTCCTCTATGCCCCGCCTTTCTGAAACGCGTCGCTTCTTTATGCACCAAGAGCTTGTAACACTCCAAAGAGAAAGGAAAAATTGAAATCGCATCATATGACCCCTTTAAATCTTGGATTAGTGTTGGGTCTCTTGTTTCACGACTGTTTCTCTCTTCTCTTTTCTGTGAGCGTTTTGTCTAGTTGGCTGCGCATTAGATCACATATGTTTGATGCAAACCTGCTTTGTGTTCTTCAACTGGATTGCGATATCATTTACTGGTTACAGGAGTGATAACAGTTGGTATTTGACAATCAGACTTATTAATGCAAACATGTTCCCATAGTCTTCAGAACCTTAACTCTTTCCCCACCAGCATTTTTGAAAAAAGTTGCTAGCCACCGCCAGCGATTTTGATGATTTTCACTAAAATTTGATGGCCTCCAGAATATTTTGCTGTATGAATATTTGAATATGCAATACACCAAAATAAAGATCAGAGCCTCTACTTTTAAACAAAAAAGTTTTATTCTAGCTTAAATCATTCTTTTTTTATCAACACTTGAATATAGGTAGGTTTCATAAAAAATGCATAATT